TGCTACTGCTACTGCTGCTACGACGACGACTAGCACTACTGCGGCTACGACTACTGCCATGGCTATGACTACGTTTTTTGTTACCGTTGGCGTTGCTATTGCTGATTCTACTACGGCTCCTGTTGCTGGTCTTATTGCTGCTACATTTACTGTTGCGGTTACAGTTGCGATTACGACTGCAACTGCTATTGTTATTGTCATTGCTACTACGATTGTTATTACGATTGCTATTGCTGTCGCTACCCTGGTACCAACTTAGTTGCAACTATTGGCACTACAGCTGCTACGACGACGGCGACGATCACTCCTATGTACTACTGCGATGACTGTGCCTGCTGCAAGTGCGACTGGTCACTCTTCTTGCAGTTTCGGCATTGAAGACACTTGCCTGGTGCCATCAGCGTGGGCAGCTTTTTGCCACCACCACCAGCGCCCCACAACATAACCGCCAGCGTCATTGCAAAATCGCCGCTGCTCTTACCGTGGCCACTGCAACGTATTGAGTACTGCGACCACTACTACTGCCACGAGTTCTGCTGCTGCTCGTACTGCTGCGACGACGACACTACTGCAACTACGAGCTACCACTTTAGCCACTATTGATCACCACTGGTGCCGCACTGCTGTTGCCGCTACTGCCTTGATCGCAGCCGCCACTGCAACTCACACGAGAACAAGAGAATCGCGAATGTCCGTCATCCTTTGCGCCATCCGGACTGAGGCTCTTCTCCGGCACGGCACCATTGTGGGGCTGTGGTGCCTCTGGGCTTTGCCTTGGGTTGTTGTGCAGTGTTCAGGTTGCAAACACTGCAGTCGCATTAAGAGGTGTTACCCACGGATGGTTACGTCATGTGCGCAGGAACGAGGTCCACCACCGCTTCATGCGCATGAATCCCCACAACGGCCACATGGACGGCTCCGCGTCGAAGCACTTGCACCACTATCCCGCCCATGGGTGGGCATGGGAGCCCTTCCGGGTCCTTAGCTCAGCATGACCTCTGAGGTGCAGCTTGCGATTACGACCTTCAATCCATACAAACCCCTGGTAGCATCTTTGAGCCCTTCGTCGAGCTTCTTGACCTGAAAGGTGGTGGACGCTGGTTTCGGACAAGTCGCCCTGCACAACGCGAGAAACAACCGTTTCATCAAAATGGCTCACGAAGCTTGGTGTCTACAGGTGGAAGGTACGGTCGAGCTTTCGCAATCCTGTTTGGGCATGGCTTTCGGGCTTTTTCCGCAGAGTTCCTGATGCCTCGAGGACATGATTCGCTCACCGACTCGCAACTGGAACCAGCTGCCTCTCAGCCAAAACCGAGGGCTGTTACGGACTCAGCGGATCTCCGCTCTTCTCTGAGGCCTGGCGGCTGGGGCTCCGAGCGCTTCACCGTCGTCGATGCAGGCCCCTGGGACTGGGACTTCGTCCCCTGTCCCCGCGTGCAGCCATGCCGCCAAGGTCATAGCCACGGTGCCCAAAAGGTTGCTCTGCACAATCCGCACTACAACCGCCCCCCCGGCTAAAAATGGAAAAATGGTGAAAACGTTCCGAGCACAAGCCATGAGCACTTCGAGCACGGCACGGCCGAGGCTTTGTTTCCATGTGTCACCATGGCGATGGGTGCGTGAGTCCTGGCAAGGTGCAGTTTGGTGCCCCCTCAGCCCGGTAGTTTCCCTTGCTGAAGGGGCTTTCCTGGGTCTGCTAGAGCCGGGCAGTATCAAACCGATTATGCAGGAGTCCTTTGGAGGGACATGGCAGAACCGGCACAACATGCATGGCGAAGTTTGCCATTGTGCTCCCGCCACAGTACCGTGCGTATTATTTGGAGTGCAAATCGAATCGCCTCAAACATCGTGCTCTTGTGACAGTCCCCGCGCGCAGTTTTGGGGTTGGGCTGGTGCTCCCACCACAGTACCGTGCGTATTTTGGGGTGCAAATCGAATCGCCTCAAACATCGTGCTCTTGTGACAGTCTCGCGCGCATTTTTGGGTTTGTTCCGTGCGTCTTCTGCGGGGCCAGTCGTGCTCCCGCAACAGTTTGGTGTGCTTTTTGGAATCATGCGCGCCTCAGACAAGGTTCTAGGGTCTGTAATGAGAATTAGGTCTTGTTCTGCTAACCCAAGTGTCCCTTCAATGTTTGGTTGTCCGGGACCTGGCATGTCTGAAACAGCAGCTGCTGCTGCAATTCGCATAGCAACAGCACCTTCGCCAGGCTCCTGACCACTTGCCCGGTGGCTGGACGTGGTCGGTGACCCAGACAACGAGTGCACTTCGAGCATTGGGAGAGAGAGGCCGTAGCCATTTTGGCTCAAGCGGTTCAAGCCCGTGGGGGGCCCTCCGTGAGCCTCTTTCCTCGTCTTCTTCTCAGCCCCCCACTGGGACAACCGTCCTTCTCCTTTCGCTCCGCCCTTTCTTTTCTTCCGACGCATTGCAGTCCATCGGGAGTGAGATCCTTGCGTGCTTCTCCGCGGGGGTTCACCCGGACGACATCGGAGAGTTCGGTCCAGGACGGCAACTGCAGCTGCCCTGACCCTTGTGCCGTTTGTCTACAACTACCTGAGAGAGATCGGCGACCCTTTGCGGGGGGGCTACCTCATTGCCTCGAGCTTTGCTGAGCCCTTCGCTGGACGGGGGACTACCTCCAGGTCAAGACTGTGTTATTGGCACGGCAGAGGAGATCGCGAACTTCAAACTACGCGATGCAAGGAAAAGGGGAAACTCCCCTAGTATGCCAGAGGTGTCTCAAAGGACCGAGCTACCACGGTGGGCACGAAAGGCAGGATCCAAACTGCCTGCTACACGGCTGTACCAGCAACAAAACCAAAGACATCCAGGAGTTCATCAAACAAAGGCAGATCGAACAGGCGGTTCGCAAAGCCTTGGAAGGCCCGCGGGAGCCCCCACCTGATCTCCATGCTAGGGGGAGCACCTCTCCAACTGCAGCGGCCAGCTCTACTACAAGAACGTCCACCCCCCCCCCTCCCCCCGCCCCCCCCACTGAGGCGAAGACACATCGACGGCACCGTCCCCCACTGAGGCGAAGACACGTCGACAGCACCGCGGTTACACTAAAGCCGGTGCAGCCCATGAAAATTCGCCCGAAGACAACCTGGACCTCGACGATGCCTCGGAAGCCCTCATCTTGGACCCCCTTCAGGAGGAGCTCTTTGGCATCAAAACCCGAAAAGGGGGGCAAATCCCTGGTCCCAAACAATACAGACCACGCACTCCAGTTCGAGCTTTTGGGAGCCCACCTGCCGCCCTGACGCCTCCACCGTTGTCTACGACCTCTACCTCCTCCAGAGGGATTACCTCTCCACCTGCTTCGACGACCACCGACGAGCGTATTGGCAACACCCAAGCAGCTGAGTCAACACCGGAGTGGGTCCTCCCGCAACTGACCAGCACAACGACATCGAGAATTATCCGAGGACCTACGCCCATTGAGGCGGGAGCAGCACCTGCCATCCCTGTCCCTGCGTCGATTACCTCAACGAGAACCCCAAACGTCGACAAACAGGACACAGCAGGTCAAACCCTGGCACCCCGCTCGACATCGGATACAATGGAGAACGTGCCGAGAACCTCAACGGGGATGACCCCTGAGTCAAGTGGTGTCATCGAGGACGATTTGGCACAAAACCATGACTCCGAAGCCGAGCTGCCACCCACAGTCCTTGCCTCTGCTTCGACTATCTCTACGAGAACCTCGAACGACAACAAGCTCGATACAGCAAGCCAGACTGAGACACCTCGCTCAACCTCGGATACAATGGAGGACGCGCAAGGGGATGACCCCAAAACCAACCGGCATCAACAAGGACGACATGCCACAAAGCCGTGGACCTCGCCTCGACCTCGAAGTCGTGCCACCTGTTTCTACGGGGGAACCCCTGGAAACCTCGCGCAGCGCTTGTGAACCACCTGGCCAAGACGTGCGAGCCTTTCTTGAGCTTCTACCTCCTGGGTGGGTGCAAAATCAAGGCTTTACCAAGGGGCTGCACCCCTCAGCAGATGTTTTTGACGACTGCCACAACGAGGACTACGGCACGAACCAGGACGATGACATGGCCCAGCTTGTCAATGCTGCGAGAACCGAGGGCAGTGCAGACAAGGACCAACGGGGAACACCCCGATCCCATAGCAGGAGCCAAGACGATGCAGAACAGCAGGAGTGCGCACTCCAACACAGTGCATGCGATAACAGAGGCGATACAGCAAAAGGTGATCCAGCTGCGCTAGAGCTAGGGGGTGAGCCCCTGTGTGAAAACAGAGCTCCCGCTTCACCTCGTTCCCCACCACGCTCCCACGGGGAAGCTGACCCCGAGGCTCCAACAAGTCCTGCTTCACCGGGGCATGAAGAGGATGATGACGATGGAAATCCTCGTCAAGCCGAAGCACCACTTCCAGAGGACGCAGCAGCACCTGCACCAGACGAAGTAGGAGTCCCAGAACCGGCGGGACCACCGCCAAGACTTAGTGAAGCACAAAGAGCACGCCCTCACCAACTCCTTGGACAACGAGACGCTGATGGAAGAGTGGTGTATAACCTCGACCAGTACCGCACTGACCAAGAACGATGGGATGCCTACAGAAGAGCGGCACGTGAAGAGTACAGGGCATACAGGAAACGCAAGAGGGCAGACGGTACCTGGGAAAAAGATGACCACCGGTGGAGACCACCGCATAGTGGACCGGTGCTTCGAGCGCCCTCCGCTTCCTCGGTCGAAAGACCGGTCGCCACTGCCGCGAAGGAGGACATCGTCAATGTGAAGACCAACGCGGGGGAGCTATGAGGCCCAATGAGTGCGTTGTACAGTCACTTTTCCTGGTTCCGGGGAGAAGCTCGTACCCAGGCCCGGGGGAAAACCTAGTTGCCTGACAGCATTTCTTCAGGAAGATAGCTTTTACTTTCCGTGCGCAGAGGCATGCATGTGTAACACTTTCGCGTCCTTTTGAACCTTCTCTCCAGCCTTTTCCTTTCGATCATGGGGGATTTTCCCCCAAGGAACGTAGTTTCCTTGTACTATAAGACGGGCCGCAGGTGCCAATCACGAACAATGTGCCGTACCTCCACACGAGGTGTTTTTGTCAATTCACCGCCTCAGCGCCTCAGCACCTTTTACCGGAATGCAAGGATACCAGTTCCGCCATTTGATTCCTGCAGTTCTAGCTTGTTGGGCTTGTTTCGGGGTTGTTCCCTTGGTTGTGTCTGCTTTGAACTAATGGCGAAACTTGCCTTGGTCGTGTATGCATTTTCCCCACTTGCCTTCCGCACCTGTCGGGGGCGCCGACGGCGCGCGGGCAGGGGGGTCTCCCCTCTGCCCGTAACCCTGCCGAAGAAGAAGAAGAGAGTAAGCGCCGTAGCCATTTTGGCTCAAGTACTACAGGTCTGTTCCGCCCTTTTGTGCGGGGGGGAAGGCGAAGAGTTGACCCGGAGCTGTGCACTCCGGCGGAGCTTTTTCGCTTTGCCTTGTGGTGCTTGAACATCATATCCGCTGCCACGTTGCTCCGGTCCCTTTCGAGCCTCTCCCGAACCTGAACGAGGCCCTTCTTCGGGCCCTCTAGTAGGGGGACGGAGCATACAACTTGACTGTGGAACTGCAAATGATCCTCCACATCTACCCGGGGGACGTCGATGGCGAGTTCGGCCGTGGGGGGAGTGGATAGAAGTCCCCCGATGCGAAACCTCCGAAGCTGAAAACGACCTGGGAGGAACAAACAAAGCTAGCCGAACGCCTACACACCGAGAGATAGGGGTGAGCTGCAGGGCTTGCTTACAAGGCCCCTGGTACCATAAACCCCACGATGCTGCTGGCACCGCCAGTAGCCCAGCCAGTGTCAAGGACATGCGGGGAGGCCACCGCTTCCCGTGCAACAGTGTCCGAGCCAGTGGGGGAGGAACGCCAGACGACAAAAGAGTGCCGACCTCTGGCAGACTACGAGCGCTTTGAGACAAAAGGGGGAGTAGCGCTTTTGTATGAGCCACATCCATTGGACAAATGGATTGGCAAAGAGTACAATTGGGACAGCAAGAAGATGTGGACCCCAAGACGGTGTTAGGTTTCCAAAAGCCTGTTAAAAAAGAAGTAGAGGCTGCGGGGTCTCGGAAACCCCATGCTTGTGGCAGCGCCGTCACAGAAACCCCATTCTTGTGTCAGCGCCGCATCCTCTAAATTTTCGACAAATTTAGAGGCCCAAACGCTCTAAATAGTTTTAACCGGCTTTCTGGAAATCTAACACAAGACGGGGGATGCGCTCACAGCAGAGGAGAGCGAAGACTACCAACGGTACTTGCAGAGGCACAAGGAGAGGCGACACACGGGGGGACAAACCGATGAGCTCGTTAAGCTCGCGGCGAAGATCAACCCGCGTACCGAGGGGGAGCTACGGTTCTACATCGGCAAGTTCCCGGGGCATTTGCGCAGACTCCTCGCAGAAGGCAAGAAAGTGTACAAGTCAATCTTGGAAAGAAAGCAACGGCATGGGACACCGCCCAGATTGCCGAGCTGCGCCACGACCCGAAGCTTGCAAAGGACGAGGAGCAAGAGACGAAGAAAAAGAAGACAAGACCAAGACCGAGAAGCACGACACCATGGAAGTGAAGGACCCAGCCAAAGATGTCACGCAACAAGACGAG